AATACCCTTATCAACAGATCTGTGCTAGAAGATTCTTTTATACCTACAGATTGCTCAACATTTAAAACTCCGTCTCTACCAGAGGTTCCAGGAACCTTCTCAATAACAAGGCTCTCAGTAATGGTAGCACGAGCTGTAATCCTTGAACGCTCTTTCAGATCAGGGTTCCTGCACACTATTTCTTTCCCGGACAAATCCCTATTGCTAATCTCCACAGGAAAATCTCCACTATCTCCCTTACCAGGAGCAGCAGCGGAAGCAGGCAGAAAATTATGAGATTGCCCATTATTTGTGATATTGTTCTCCTGTTGGGGAACTCCAACAGCTTCAGGAATGATCCTCTTTCTTCCGTCAGGCCTTCTATATACTTTTTGATTCACAGGACTAGATACCCGATTTAAGGTTGATGCTTTATTTAATGTGTGACCAGTAGCCTGTGCTGCCTTATTCCGATCATCGACTTGCGATTTTCGCCTTTTTGCAGTACTCTCCACACTAGCAGATGGTTTTGTTGTCCCCTGATTTTGTTGAACATCCGATGCCGCCCTCTTACTACCGGTTTGCTTTGTCGAGGCTGTTTCAAGTAATAACTGGGCAGGGCTCTCAACTAAGTTTGCTTGCCGGCCTCTGACATCTCCATATCGACTTTTCTTCAATTCGTCGAGTTCAGTATCGGTTAGCCTGACGCCTAGTTCTTTTGGGTCAAAGTGAATCATCGCCACTGTTCCGTCCAAGGAACATGCGAAAAGTGAATATCCGTCGGGACTCCTGTAATTTCCGAAGGTAAATATCTAATTAAAAATCAGATTTTCCTCTTCATTTGTGACCCTAGAAAAGAAATCTAGGATTTCTTACACGAATCCTAAATTTTTTTGGGTTAATACAGATCCTAAATTAACTACATAAAAAACCCATAAATGGCAAACCCAATGCACTTTTGAGACACAAACAAAAAACCATTATGAAGAAATAACTGCAAATCATGAAATCATTGGATATGTAGATTTTGCCAAAAAAAGGGAAAACTTTACCATGATAGATCCACAACACTTTGGCCAAAGAAATGCTTCGCGACAAAAAGAGGACGCGCACTTCCAGTTGTCCATACGGTTATAGTACGGTCTTGACTCCCCATTGCAATAACATTGTATGACTGCAAATCTTTCCCCCCTGACTTTGATGTTCCATTGCTCCACCCAACTTGTTTAGTTTCCTGGGTACTAGAGGGGATTCTTTTGAACATTGAATGATTGAACCTAACAACAATGATTGGAGCACTATGACCTAAGAAGTCATATGCTACAGACCATTCCCCTCTTTCTAAAACAGGAGCAGAATGCTTCGGCTTCTGAAACCCATGAGTGGTAGTAAGGAAGTGGCCACAGGGGGACCACCCAAGTCGCCTGAAAAATGTGGATCCAAGCTAGAAAAAAAAGAAAAGAAATATTAGCAGATCCTATTATCAGTAAACGTCCTGAGAGAACAGGGAAGCAATTGAAATAACTTCCAGAAAACAGAGTTGGAATCATTATTCAAATCCTTATACAATCATTTCATTTATGTAAATACATCCTAACAGTCTTGCTAAAACAAATATTGCATACCGATTTTGCCCAGTGACCATCTGTTCTGTGAGCCATGCCCCAATCGCTTGTTCGCCATATTATCACAGTTTTGTCATCAGATTGGCTAGCAATAAATGACCCGATTGGATCCCAAGTTACACCTTTAACCAAGCTCAAGTGACCCCTGAGAACAGTAGTGCACATACCAGTGCGCATATTCCAGATATGGACTGTGTTGTCCAAACTCCCACTAGCCAGCATCGAATCATCTGGAGACCAATTAAGATCCACCTACTTTAAGGATAATTAGAACAAATACCTCAGTTATTACATAACCACTGAAATTGCCACTAGAAGATAACAAGGAAAAGCAAAATGGCGTTTACCACATCGGCAGTGTGTCCCCTTAAAGTCATTACAGCTTTCCAGTTCTCAACATCGGGGGCTTCTCCACTACCAAACTCAGTGGTGCCTGAACCAGGCTTCCTCTCATGAATTTGAATCACTTGATCATCAGAACCAGATGCTACATACCTACTGTGCTTGGCCCACCTAACACAGTTGACTGACCCAAAGTGGTCACGAAGAGTTGCGAGAAGCCTCTCTTTTGTATCTAAGTTTTGCAAATCCTTGTCAACAGACTTCATGTTCCATATCCGGACCTATATTCATATTAGAGATTACGATTAATGATACTAAAAGTACTAAGCCCAAATAAGTGAAAGGTTCAGCAATGTATTCATTCACTAGCCGATTACAAACAATGAAAGCAAAAACAGTTCTGAGTATTAACAGCTTGAGCATCAACCCGTTTAAGTACTGAGGGAAGAGATAAACAAGTAGTGACATGGACAAAATGCTACAAACCGTACCTACAATCGAACCAAGAAGAACTCAAGCGATAGCGTAGTAAACTAAATCCACAATTCATAGTGTTGGATAGACATTCTCAAAGATCAAAGAAAGCCTCACCAATTCAAAATAAGATACAAGAACTACAACATGTACATAACAAGCAATGCAAGAACCACAAAATTTAGCTCTTTGAATAGAATCTTAAACTATCAGCATAATCATATAAGATCAAGAAATCAAGTAAAATAGCCTTCAAAACATCGAATGCCAATTCAATTCCGATTCAAACTAACTACAGAACAATAGCAAATTCATCTGGAAACATAAAGCAATAGAAGAAGTAGAAGAGAAATAAAACACTGACCTTGTGGTCACCACCGCCTGTAGCAAACCTTTCTCCATTAGGTTGAACATCAATGGAGAATATCTGTACCCCTTCATGTTTAACCCAAGAGGGTTTCTCCGCAATCATCTCTCCTCTGCCCAATTCGAACTAAAAATCGAAAAACAGAAAAACCAAGATTCAAGACAGAAACTTTATTGAGATCACACCCATGAACAAGCTCAAGGAAGTTACAGAGACTCAGCAAGAACACGAATTTATGGACGAAACCAAAAACCCAGAAAGGTAGACTAAAGAACTGAAACGGTGAAGGAGAATGAAGTCAATTTCGAGGTTAATTTTTCTTCCTCAATTCAGTAAAATTTTCTTTTAAAAAACCCTAATTTTTCGTGGTTAGCAGAGAGACAAAGTAGAAAAGACTTTAAGATTTGGGCTAAATGTGACAAATTTGGAAGACAGAGTTTGTGTTTTGTGTAACTGATATGTGAGAAGAATAAAAACCCTACCTTTGGAGACAAAGAGCTCTTCGACTTCTTTGTAAGATTCTCGATTAAGTTTTTTCAATCTAAAATACAAATCACAATTGTTTGTGTTGTTAAGTCTCTATTTCAAAAGAATAGTCTTTTTAAGGATAATTATTGGTAATGCAACTCCCAATGTTAGATGTTTGCTAATGACTCAACTATCTTAAAAGCATATCACATTCTCTTGTTTCAAATTGGCTTCATGTCTAGGTCATGTAGAGGCATACCCTTGTTCACGGCCACACATACCTCGAGCACCAATATTTCCTCGAACCCACGGTTTAGACGCATTCCACTGCCTTGACCATCTTGTCCTAGAGTATCATGCTCACCCAATTTCTTTACTTCAGTTATCATGACTCAAACACACGATTTGGTCTATTTCGACCCTTAAACACATGGTTTGGCCTATTATGGTCATCTCAACGCTCGAACTCACGATTCAGCACAGCTTGGTCTTCATGACCGTTGATCTATAGCCATCATTACCAACTCACCCACCCATTATTTTACACTCAACCCCAACCCAATATAATTAAGGGCTTTAAGACAAAAATAAATTGTACCCTCTTTACTAAAAAGCTTGTGGAAATTTTAAATATTTGGGCCTATTTATAAAAACATTAGGTTTTATAAATAAATCTAACTTTTTGAAATGGACCTAATTTAAGTAAGAAATGTGAAAACTTTAAATATTTGTGACTACTTTTAAGGCTTTTTAAATCAATTTCCTTTTTTAAAAAAAATTGCGGCCTAATTTTAGTTGTAATTGTTTTTAAACAGAACTCTTTACAAGATAATTTTTTTAAAATAAACAAAAGATCTATGGACCGTCGCGCTTGTGCCTAATTGTTTGGCTTGGATCTGTTTACACCCAAAGAAACCATCATTTTCCACCGAAAACAATAAACATTTTTCACCATTTATCGTTTTTCACCCATTTCTTAATTTAATCATTTTTAGGTATTAATTATTTATTTAATACTCTCTATAATCAATACATTTCATAAACGATTCACAATCAAACACGAATAAAAACCATATTTTACTCACCATTATTAACGTAAAAAAAAACTGTAAAAAATGTTCTAGACAATTTACGCCATGATAGGAAACCATTATTTACAGTTGTTTTTTTACCGCACCATTATTTACAAAACCGCCTAAGCAACACTCAACAATTCTAGATCGATGCAGACTGATGTATATATATATATATATATATATATATATATATAATATATATATATATTGATTTGAGTGAATATGTGTTCATCGAATTATATAAAAATAACAAAAGCTTATACATATTAACAAATCATTTGCGTAAATCGTCCTTTCTTTCTCTGGCCCCCTCGCTTCTCTCCTTCAAATTAGCAGTCCCAATATATATATGACTACTGATTTTGAGTGAATATATGTTCATCGATTTATATAAAATTAGTAAAAGCTTGTACATATATTAACAACTCATTTGCGTAAATCGTCCTTTCTTGTCTGGCCCCCTCGCTTCTCTCCTTCAAATTAGCAGTCCGAATATTCCAGTGATTCTTGAAATATTCTATTAAAAAGATTCATAATCGAACCAATAAGGGAAAACCAATTGTGCTAATATAGAATAAAATAATACTCAACAGTTTAATATTTAGGATAATGATTCTACTAATAATTCCAGCTATATATATCTACCTTTCCTCCTTGTCCTAATGCTTGACATATTCTTCATCTTCTTAGTTTTTCTTCTTCACGAGGTCAACAACAATTAATGGAGGATACTCAAGGAAGAATCAAACTAAGAGATGGTAGATACTTGGCCTACAAGGAAAGAGGTGTCCCCAAGGATGATGCAAAGTTCACCATCGTTCTTGCTCATGGATTTGGTAGCTCCAAAGATATGATTTTCAATGTCTCACAAGTATACACTAATCCTTTATTTCCTCGATCTTCTTGATTCCTATATCTTTTTTTTTTTTGTCATATTTTCAAAATTTGTACTTTTAATCATATAGATCCAAATTATGTGCTTCAAATTCTGCAATTAAAGTAAAAATGAAGAACTCTCACTGTCTCTTCTTTTCTTTCTTCGAAATGTTGCTCTGAAAAAGGTGGTTTAATCCAATTTTGACTTTAAAAACCTTCTGAAAATGACTTGGCAAAAAATAAAACACTTTTTCTGCTTTCATTTTTGGGTATTTTTAGATTCCAGTCCATTACAAGATTCAAAAAACTGACTTATCATGTATGATTTTGTAATTGTAATGTTTAATGTGGAATGTCTGAAAAGCTAAACTATTTTCAATTTTCCAAAGAGTAAACCAATAATAGGAAAATTAAAGTGAGAAAAGGAGATGTTTTTTAGAGATTTGGTTGAAGACTAATGAGGCTTGTTTTAGTTATAATCTCAGGAGCTTGTGAATGAAATTGGGATATACTTTGTGCTATACGATCGAGCGGGTTACGGAGAGAGTGACCCGAATCCGAAACGTTCGTTGAAGAGTGAAGCCTACGATGTTCAAGAACTGGCGGATCGGTTAGAGATCGGATCAAGGTTTTATCTCATTGGAATCTCAATGGGTTCATACACTGTTTGGAGTTGCCTTAAACATATTCCTCAAAGGTAAATAAATCTTGTCCAATAAAGAAATTATAAATTAATTTAGAATCCTTACAAATCTTCCAAGCCCCATATGTTGCAAAAATAGTTGCTTGAAGATTGGATAAAATTGTCAGAGAGAACGTTCAAATTCATATTGTGGGATCAATTGGTTTTTAATATTTGTTGACATAAAGCTCAGAACCATAATCTTTTATTGCTCTAGATTTAGATCTTCAAAATAGTACATAATTGTTTTTTTTTCCTTCCTTGCAACCATATGTCTGTTCAACTAATAGTCAAACACCTTTTGGTCTAGTTGAAAATATTTTAGTCTAGAATCAATCAGACTTGACTCGTAGTACGTACATTGATTTACACCTTCTGAGTGAGAGTAGTGTACTTTCATGATTTGAACCCATTGATACACATTAGCCGGTAAAAAAATTTTGCCACCAAAAAAAAAAACAAAAATCTACAAGAATAATGTATTTGTTATACTACTATCAGAATTATGAATTTTCATAAAGAAATGAAATTTAACAGGTTAGCAGGAGTGGCAATGGTGGCTCCGGTGGTGAATTACCGGTGGCCGTCGATTCCAAAGAGTCTGATGCAAAATGACTACAGAAGAGAAGTGGCGAAATGGTCCGTTTGGGTCGCTAACTATTTTCCGGGACTTCTGAAGTGGTTGGTGACTCAAAACTTATTCTCTACAACTAATTCGATGCTAGAGAAAAACCCTGTTTACTTCAACGACCAAGACATCGAAGTCCTCAAGCACAACACCAAAGGCTTCCCAATGCTCACTAAGGTAAATATTACTCTTTACCAAGAAGACTATAATCCCTTAGAGCTTTTTCCGCTATATTCCTTTAGAACTATTATCTTATACTTTTAGAATATCACCAAATGTACACCCAATATTTATCCATGACTTTGATCTTGGAGACCAAATTATCAAGCCATGCATTTTCAACAATTTAATTCAGTGTTTTACTTATTATAATTTATATCGTAGTGACTAGTACACGACCTAAAAAAATTGTGATTAGAATAAGTATCTATATATGGGGGAAAAAATATAGTTTACTCATTGAATTAACCTTTCGAATATCAACAGTAATGTTACTTAAATTTGTTTATGACAATTTCCACCAGAATTTTAATGAGAAAAACATAAAGAGGTAGAGAAAGTTGATAGCCTTCATGATTTTTCTAAATTGTACTCTTATTTCAATTACAAAGTGTGATATTAATTCAGAACTAGATATTTTGAAAGAAAAATGGGGTTGCTTAGTCAAATTACGAATACTCATATATTATCCACATGTGTCCACAGGAGAAGTTACGAGAACGCGGCGTTTTCGAGACACTGAGAAGCGATTTTTTGGTGGCATTCGGCGACTGGGACTTCGATCCAGCCGACCTACCTGACCCGTCTCTGTCTGGACCCGAAAAAGGCTCTTCTTCTGTTCACATATGGCAAGGCTACGAAGACAAAGTGATGCCATTTCAATTGCAAAGATGTTTGTGCCGCAAGCTACCATGGATTAGGTACCATGAGGTCCCTAAAGGAGGCCACCTGATCGTGCAGTACGACGGCGTCTGCGATATGATTTTGAAATCACTTCTTTTAGGAGAAGATCTCCCAATGTACAAACCAAAAGCTGTGATCATTGAGCCAGCTTAGAGACTAATTAGTCACTATTTTTAATTTATTCGTTTTCTTGCTTGATTCTTTGATTTTGTTTGACAAAAATCGAATTCTCTTATTTGTAAAATATATATGTACTTATGAATTTTTCATATCTATGACATATTTATTTTATCCACTAAAAGAAAGGTAAATTCCTAGGTACGAGAATTTCTGTCGAAAATCATGATTTGTTTTCAAGGGATTTAGATCCATTAGTATTCCCTCGCCTCCTAGCCAACTGATCGATTCAAAAATAGCAAATTTGTAAGATTTTAACAAAAATGAAAAAAATCCATAAATGTCACTAAGAAATATGGCAAAACCCGTAATAACCCCTTCTTGTGGAGTTGGTGAAAAAAATATGTTCATGAAGTTGAATGTTTTATAAATACAGTCACCATTCATTTTATACACTAATATTTTTCTCTTAGACTCATAAATACAATGGTCTATTAGATGTTAAAAAACAAAAATAATACTTACTTAGCTTAATCATTTTTCCTTATATTTAGTAAGTTATTCTTATCTATTTTTGGATTCGACCCTTAAACACTAGATTAATATTCCCATGGGACTTGGTAATTTAGAGTTTTAAAACTTGAGCTATCATTTTAGTTTTTAATTCTTATAAATGAAATATTTTATTTCACATATAAAAATAAAATTTTATACTGCCAACACACTAATCTCACAAAAAATATTGTTTAATCCACATTTTGAATATATGGTTCCTCTATTTACTACTACTATTCAAAATATTTATAAAATTTTCACGTTTTGGAAAAGTGTTTCCACTATCTATCACTACTAGAAATTAACCCGCGGTACACCGCGGGGCTATATTTTTTAAAAAAATTATCTATAGATATAACCTATTGTTTTGTTTGAATTAAATGTACATATATATATATATATGTGTGTATATATTATATATATTACCTCGCGGTACACCTCGGGTCGATTTTTTATAACTAAAATTTTTAAATTTTGAGTTGTATTTGTTTTGTGAATATAATTTGTTTTGTTTAGTGTTTAAAATTATATAATTATATTTGATTGTTAATTCTTGGATTTCACCCGTACTATACCGTCCCGTATTAATATCGACCCAAACATGTCCCACCATATAACCCCGTCCCGTAAAAAAATTAAACATAATTTTGTTATATTTTTTTAATAATTTTTTTATTTTAAAAACATACAATTCAAGTCTAAAACAAAACATACAATTTAAGTCAAATTAAAAGTTTGCTTTAAAAAATGTCTATTATAAATTTTAGTGAAACCCATGATTTATTTCAAAAATGTCTCCGAAAGTCTAAATATAGATATCTTCTATATATATATATACATTTTTGCATCCATTTTATGAAATAAATCCTGGATTTTGAACTTATTTACGATCAAATGCTATTGTCTTAAATTTTTAAGATTTTATTTTTAAAAACATATATATTTAACAAACGAATTCAATTAAGAAACAAATTTAATCCTAATTTGTTTCCATAAATATCGAAACTAACTTTTCTAACTTACCGAATATATGTGTTCATAATTACTACCTCCAACATAATCTATTCTCTGATTTTTCTCCCCAAAATATTTTTGCAGATTTTTGGCAACTATTTAAGTAACAAATGGAAATTAAAACTCTTTACTTAAATAAAACAAATCTAAACAATTAATATCAATGGCATTCCTTCGTAAATACTTTCAAACTTCAGGATTTATTTTATAAATGTACTCCGAAAATGTATATATACATTAAAAAATTTTAAATAAAACATTAAGTATAACCATACTAAGATTCTCATCAACTATTCAAAAATTCATTCTTATAAGCTCATTATTTTTTCATTTTTTGTATGTTTCATTTAAACAATATCTTACAATGATAAATACAATCTTTATCCAACTAATTAATGTTAGTAACTTATATGATTATTTTAAATTTCAACGGTCATTGTTTATTAGTTAATATCCATGCTATTTGATTTTTTTAAAAATAATGCATGCCAAATTTAATCGATCTATAACAAATGTAAAAATGGTTAGTTTTTCTTTTTGGTTAAGAAAAATAAAAGTTAAAAACTTTTAGATATAGACATATAAAATGTTTCTTTTTTAGATTTCATTTTTTTTAAGAAATAAAAAAAAAGTTAAATATTTTTTTACACATATCAACATCTTAGCGATAGACTTGACACGTGTCAGGATCATGCGAATCACTAACTTTGAAAAACAAGCTTTATATAATAAGATGGATGATTAAAATTTATAGCAAAATGAAATTTGAAAGTTAAAATTTTGTTTAAAACCAAAATTACTAAATTAAATATTAAAAAAAAAATGTGTAGATTACTATTGACTATTCAAAATTCAAATATCATCGATAAAATTTTACATTTATATCTTACACCAACCTATTTAGGCGGGCTTATCTAGTATGGTATAAAAATTACCCTAGAACTATAGTTTGGTTGCTTAATAAAGTATCTTGTTTTGAAGATAGTTGAAATTCTCTGTTCGTTATAAAGATATCAAATAGAAATTTAATTTTCGGTGATAATTACACGGACCAGACAATCTGGTCCACCAGCCTTCCTTTTAATGGAAGCAGAAGAGACAGCCGTGAAGTTCAAGCAATTCTTCTCGAAAATGGCAACCTAGCTTCCATGCGCTAAGATATGGTTGAACACGCGTTTCACCAGTTGGAAAGACAGATAATATCCATCAGCGGGTCAATATACTCTCAAAATTGACCCTAGCACAAGAAATTCCCTCCACATGGTTTGGAGTGATTCTAAGCCCTATTGGTCGAGTGGCATATTGGTTACCCAACAAGGAATTGTCAAGGTACTTGAGAAATATGAATTCGAACAGTTGGGCTTTGTAGTCAATGTGACTAAGTCATACATCTCCTATTCGGTACGTAACGGAGTCCTGTTTCGTATGTTTATTATTGAGTTGGGGAAATTCAAGACATCTTATATTACTAAGCAGGTGGAGATGCCGTCATTTATGAACCTAGCTTTTGCAAGATTAATGGCTTTTGTGGGTCCTTTGGGATATGTGATACGAGCTGCAAGTGTGTTCCTAGTTTCCATCCACGAAATAATCGGACGAATGGTGTTTGCGTAAAAAAAAACATCATGGAGACATTTGGGGGATGCATTATTGGTGGAGAGGATGATGATGGAGATCAGATGGTTGATCTAAGGCTAAGTGAAATAGTGGTTGCGACAAATAACTTCTCCGACGAAAACAAGTTAGGAGAAGGTGGCTTTGGTTCCGTGTACAAGGTAATCTTATATAAGAAATTAAGATTTCCATAAAACTTAAGTTTTGAGAAGCTGATATGTGGCATCCGTTTTTTTTTACATGTGTAAGGATGCATAATTTATCAATATTGTAAATAATTGCCATAACATCTTATATAAAAAATCATCCATTTTTGGTTTACTTTCTTTTGTTTAATATCTCAAATTTATTCTATAACTACTATTATGCTTATGTTTTGCTTATGTTTTGCTTACTTTTTTCTTATTTTTGTTAGATTATTTAATTTTTTTTTCCTTAGTTCATTAGTGAGAAACACATGAAAAATTGCTACCGTATCGTGACTTTCATCCTTATAAGCCAAAACAATTGGAGAAATAGGTGTGATGGGACATAAAAAATGAGTAGAGATTTGGTGTTGATATATATGGTATAAGAGAATTTTATTCCAAAATGGAGTTTAGAATGAAGTTGAATGCTATTAATTTAGTTATCCGAATGGCCACATTTGCAACATAACTTGGGGGTGCCAAAAACTTTTAAAACATTTTTCAATATTTTTCTTTCTTTTCTTTTTCATCATTTAAAGTAATATATATAACTAACACATTTTAGATAAATAAAATAAAATATCTCCATGAATCATTTTTATATATTTTTTTGTTTTATTTTCATTAATTAAAACTTTAAACAAGAAAACTGTATATTGTGGCATTCTTCATTTTGACACGTGTCTTTTTTTCTCAAACCTAAATACAATAATATGAATCTTCATTATATTTAATTATATTATTATATTCAAAATTATTTTAAAATTTTCTAATTTTAATCATCTTAACTATACAATTAACTCATTCAACTAAATAACTATACCATCAAAAAGTTCCCTAGATTTACCATTGAATCAGAATGTTTAGCAAAAAAAATTAAAAAAATTTATAAGCAATCATTTGCAGTTTATTTGAATTATGTTATTCAATTTTAGATATTGGATATTCTCATATTGATAACTCAATTCTTACGGTATAAAGAGATTTTAATAAAACTATGTCGAAATCCGCGCTACGCTGCGGGATACCTTTTGAAGTATTTTTTTATTTATTTATTTAATATAGATATGATTTGTAATAACTAAATCATATTGTTTGTAATCAAAATTAAACCAAACATAGTGAATATATTAATATGATTTATCATTTAAGGATTTGGTTCATAAATTCAATTATCAAAAAAATTAATATTTTAATGAGATAGTTCTCTTATGATGCAAACTACCGATGAAAAAAAGATAAAGATTGCAAATTTTGTAACTAAGTTGATAGAGAGAACTCACTCTAACAAACCCATTTAAATATGTAAAGCATATACTTCATATCAATTGGGTGTTAATTTATCTACTTTACTTTAATTGTTACCAAGGTGAATATGTTTCAAGCACTTCAATATTTTTTTTATCTCCAACAAGTTTTCTTCCTTTCTTTCCCACTCTCTAAAATGACAATATGATATCTCAAGAATTTATGCAGCTAATAAATCTAGAAGTGAAGAATTTTACTATTTATATATATAAAATGCAGCATCTAACAACCAAATCATCATGAATATAAAATTTATGACTACTTCAAAATATATACCATTTATGAAAATATACGCTTAAGTCTTACAATACATATAGAACATAACTTTAAACTATGATATTCTCGAATCACTAAGATACACATTGCCATATTTTTCTTGCCTCTTCAAAAGCCACACCGAAATATCAGAAAAAAAGATGCAAAATATTAAGCTACAATAAGGAAGAACCTAATCATATATATAAGCATGCCTTTGTAAGAAACCATCCCATCATCGTCATTTTTCCTGTGAAAACTCAACTAATTACTTCAATCCTCGCTCTCTGATTCAACACTGTCTCAGCATGGGATTGAGAGATCCAGAATCTGGAAGCGAAGATGGAGAAGCTCGTACTTAACTCAAGCTTCTCTTGAATCTAGTAATTAACTCAAGCTTCTCTTGAATCCAATTAGAGATTTCAAAGAAATTGGAAGCGAAGATGGAGAATCTCGTAAAGCTTTCATCAGTGAAGATTTGGAAGCAACGACTCTAATTCTGTTTTTTGATGGATAAATGAAAGTCATCAAAAAAGAAAGCTTAACAAATTTGGCAAAAAAAAAAAGCATAACTAATAAAATTATGTCTAATAAAAATTTCGGTCAGTTCGTAAACTGACGACAATTTTCTTGCTTTCAAAATTTATAAGTCGGTTTAGATTGTGACTTTATTTAACCGACGTGTCCCAACATTTTTCTTGTATATATGTATTGAGTTTCTTTTAAATTGAGTTTCTATTATCTACTAAAATTCAGTTGTAATGGATCAAATCCCTTAATTTCTATATGGACCGGGCCTATATATATATATATATATATATATATATCTTTTAAAATTTAAATAGCAAGCTTTTTAATAATAAAGAATAAGTCAGAGATAATGATGTGGAACAGAGGAGAATTATTATTGGCTGAGAAATCTGAGCTGTATTAATCAAAAAATTTTCATTGGATGATGATTTTAATGTTGTGTCAAGCTGAGAAGAGCTTAAAAAGCTGAGGTGTCAACGCAGGAGAGAAACCTATTGTTATTATTGTATTGATTTGTAAGAAAATTATCCGGTTCAATTAGTTCCGCTAATCATATCAATCAAGCCTATGAAACATGGAAAAGTTTATTAAAAATCAATGATGATAAAAAAAAAAACATTCCTTGGCTAAATTATGCTTGCTATGGCTGAAAATGAATGAATTTAAATTTAGCTGAATTGCACATAAATTAGTGGTAATTTCTAGCAGAAGTATGGAGAAAAAACTAAGAAATTAAACAGATAACAGTTGAATTCTTAAAATAATAATTAATTAATTATATAAAATTATAAAACTTGAATTAAATAATTCATTTTTGTCAACAAATAATGAAAATATTAAATATTAAAGATGATATGTTTGATAAATTTATCAAGATAAGAACATAATTTAGATAATATTAATGATATTAATTTTTTGACTAGTAAAATTAAATTATTTTTATTTTACATCATGTGAAAATATTAAAAATTTACCTAAATATTACTCATTTATTAAATATATTGTTGAGGAAGTATTTCAGCCCATATATGTTTTCCGCAAAACTGTCACAAATCTAGCCCAATGAAGTTTAGGTCTAGATCAATCTTCATGGGATAAGACGAAGCTCGAGGGAGCTAAGCTTGGCATGACGAAGTTGGGCGAGATGCCGCATAAGTCTAGCAGCTACTATGTCGGTGTACCTGACCCAATCTATCCGCGTCCCGAATTGCCATGCAATACCATATTCATACCAGTTCGGATAACTATCAGTTTAAAATATTAATATATTTTAACGTGTACAAAAAATGACAGATACCGAATTAAATATATGAATCAGCCGTTACGATATTTTAAAATTTAAAAATTATTCAAAATATCACTTAATTCCATTATGTATAAAAAGAAATTTAAAAACTGAAAAAAAAACTGATTTTAAATTTGACTTAATTACCATTAACAATCTCCAACACCAAAACAACATGTTTCTAATTTATTTTATTTTTTGGTTAGAACATGTTTCTAATTTATTTTCTATTTAAAAAAATTAAACAATATAATTCTGCACATTGCTCCGACATCATCTAGTATGAAAATAGCTGCAGCATATGTGAAAAGCAAGCAGCATTTATATATTAACGCCAATACTTTTAATTTTATTTGTATGTATTAAGGCTTATAATATAAAATAAACTTCTAGAAGATATTTCAAAAACGTGTACAAAATAAATTATTGTGTTATCTTGGACATTCATACAAAACGCTTACGAATGTTATTTTATCCATGATATGATTGGCCAATTAGCTATGAGGTAAAAATCCGTATACGAGTAAAAGTAAGATAAAATTTCGCAAGAAGAATTTTAGCAGAAACTGTGAGACAAGTGTCATGAACGTGTCAATCAACAAACGAAAAGGAAAATTATAGAATCCAGATTCGACGTACCACATTAATAAATATCAAATATTTATCTTTTTCTGGCAGTTACACTCTTTTTCATTACTCCAATAACTTTTTTTTTTTTCATAAAATAAAAATATCACTCGCATGCATGCATATATATACACCATAGTAAACTCCGCCTCTTCTTCATTTTAAAAGTATCAGTTTCCACTGACACAATCCTTAACTATTTTCCTTTGTTCTTCTTCATCTTTATTACACATTTTTTTCAAGGTAACAAATTATCTTTTTATGTCACTTTTATACTCTTAGATTGATATATGAATGCATGTTAATATTTCAAGATTTATAGGTCTTCGAAACGATGTCGGTTTTTGAATCCGAGACTTCGTCCTTCCACGTCTACAACAACCACGAAATCCAAACACAACCGCAGATGCAAACGTTTTTGTCGGAGGAGGAACCGGTAGGGAGACAGAACTCGATTTTGTCACTAACTCTTGACGAAATTCAGATGAAAAGTGGTAAGAGCTTTGGAGCGATGAACATGGACGAGTTTCTAGCGAACTTATGGACGACCGTTGAAGAAAACGACAACAACGGAGGAGGTGGGGCTCACCACGACGGAGAGAAACCGGCGGTGCTGCCACGTCAAGGGTCGTTGTCCCTCCCTGTGCCTTTGTGCAAGAAAACCGTGGACGAGGTTTGGCTAGAGATACAAAACGGTGTACAACAACATCCACCGTCGTCAAATTCCGGTCAAAACTCCGACGAAGATATTCGCCGGCAACAAACTCTTGGTGAGATCACCCTCGAGGATTTTCTTGTTAAGGCTGGTGTTGTACAAGAACCATTGAAGACAACGATGAGGATGTCGAGTTCTGATTTTGGTTATAACCCGGAGTTTGGAGTTGGTTTACATTGTCAGAACCAAAACAATTATGGTGATAACCGGTCGGTTTATAGTGAAAACCGGTCGGTTTATAGTGAAAACCGGCCATTTTACTCGGTTTTGGGGGAATCTTCAAGCTGTATGACCGGGAATGGGAGGAGCAATCAGTATTTAACCGGTTTAGATGCTTTTCGGATCAAGAAACGGATAATTGATGGTCCACCCGAAATTTTGATGGAGCGAAGACAACGACGGATGATTAAAAACCGCGAATCTGCGGCTCGGTCTCGAGCCCGGAGACAGGTAAGTCGGAGTCTCGACCAAAAGATATAGAAGCTAAATTTTGTATAACATGACTAGGGTCATTGGTTAAATCCGGTTTAGAGACTAATTTTTGTTTCACTCGTTATAGGCGTATACTGTTGAATTGGAGTTGGAACTGAACAACCTCACGGAAGAAAACACAAAGCTGAAGGAAATTGTGGTAATTTCTCGATTAAACATTATTATAATGACTAATATAATTAAGCTAAATTCTTATTTGGAGCAAAAATCATACTAACCATTTTCAATTTGTTACTTTTTGCTAGGAGGAAAATGAAAAGAAAAGAAGGCAAGAGGTAATAATACTCCAATTTCCATATGTACTTAACGGTTACTTAACGATTACTTAACGAATATGGATTATCAAATACATCATTTTGGATTTATATGTGTCATATTGTTGGATTCAAAGTTGACTTCATAGGAGTTTGCATCGGTTTCTAAAGAGCATTATAAAGTATGAATATCAGTATCTAACAAATATAAATATTAGTTTGGTTCAACAAACTTTAATGATAATAACTAAGCTTTGATGGGGTTAGGGGTTTCTATTTAAAGTAAGAACTTTCTTCATAAATTAGGATAGAAATTGATTTTTTTCAAGTGATCTTTTACTTCACAATTTAGCGACCATAAAGTTATTGTAAACTAATTATAATTAATTAACGAAATGGCATGCAGATAATAAATAGAAGCAAACAAGTGACTAAAGAGAAGAAAGGAGACAAATTGAGAAAGATTCGGAGGATGGCTAGTGCCGGGTGGTAAATAGATATGAGAGTTTGTGTAATTTGCATATAATATTATATTGATCATTTCCATCTATACACATATAAATATTTGTATCTATTTTTTATTTTGAGACAAACGTGGAATTTGTGTATATAGTATCATTTCTTTTTATATATACTCATAAGTCGTAGTGTCGTATCTCCAGATTTAATTTCCATGTTTTCTTCTTCTTCCTCCGATGCTGAAATTACATCGAGAAATCAGATAATTTAATCATGTGTTTAAATATGAGTGTAGTTGAAAATTTTGAAGATATTAGAATACAGTAATACATCGATAAATATGAGTGTAGTTAATCACATAGTATTATACATACCGAATTGTTTTCTATACAAGTAGGAAATATTTCATATCCACTTCTTAATTCTCACATAATAATTTTCTGAAAAAAATACTTAGAACACACTCTTACATCATTTCTCGAAACCACAATACAATTATACAAAGACCACATTATAGTTATTGAACTTTTTTTTTGTTTGTCTTATGCTACATTATCATCAAATATATTTGGAAATAATTTTATTTTCCATGATAATCAACTAATCTATCAGATCTAAATATATGTAACACATACAATTATGATAAACGACTCCAAAAACAAATCCACAACGATGATTCTTACTTGCACCATACATACCATCGATGAACCTTACCCTTAACACTCAAGAACACGACATATGGTTCTGCATCACTCTGAAATTTCTGATTAGACATTCTTTCGTAATCGAACCTCATACCTAGTATAAAAGCCTTTAAATGCTTGATTGGTAGGCCAATGGGATTAACCAATCTCTCTTATTATCTTGAGTTGAGTTTTTCTTTTATATCTTCTTTTGATGATATTGGCGATTCTTACTTGCACCATACTATCAATGAACAATTTTACCCCTAACACTCGAGAGCACAACAGACGGTTCTAAAACATATTCTGGAATTTTTGATTAGACATTCTTTGGTATTTGATACACAAACTTAGTATAAAAGCTTTTAAATTCTTGATTACTAGGCCAATGGGCTTAACCGCTTAACAACCTTTCTTGTTATCTTGAGTTGAGTGTTTTTTTTCATCTTCTTCTAATGATATTATGTGTAGTGGTCAAAAATTGAGTTGAACCTGTGTCGGTTTGTCTACTCTACTCTGTGTATAAATTTGAACAAGAGTAATTAGTTAATTTGTTATCAAAAAGCTACATTAACCTTCTAAGACAACAATATTTGTAAGAGAAAACTTTGTCTAAAAAGATAACCTTTTGTGAAACAAAGAAAGTAGAACACAATCATTTTCTTACAAAATTTGATAAATTTGTAATATTTTAGTGTTGCTGAAAAATTAGAAACCAATTACAAGAAAAGATAAAGGAACCCCCAAAAGAAGAATTTAACTGACATTTTCAAATTCAACCAAGGTAAGAAAATAGTATTAACACGAAACTAAAAGAGATCAATGTAAAAGAAAGCAGTACAATTTGGCTTCTTGATCTCCTTCAAATTCTTCAAACTCGAGATACCGTTAATAACGCCATCCATCGTCAAGTTCCGAGACCCGGACAAGTCTAGATACTCTAGATTTACACAATGTTTACAAATAGAGGCAAACCCTTTATCAGTCATTGTGCTGAATCGAAGTTCCAGGTGCTTAACATGTTGCATGTATCTCGAAATCACATAAGCATCAATATTCCCCAAAGTAAAGATAGATAGATTCTCCATATAGTTTTCATAAGACTCAAACCTCGAGACCTCGGTTGGATACACATAATTCTTTTTCACAATCTGAAGATTCTTGCAATTCTTACCAAGCACTTCCATACACTCACGAGAAATTTCATAAGAGCTACTTATATCAAGTTCCATGATTTTAGGGCACTTTAAGGCTATCTTCCTCATCGATTCATCTGTAACTTTTGGACAATGCTTAACCCAAAGTACCTCAAGATTAGGACATCTACAAATCAGATCATTGAACATAGAATTTGGTAAGATATTTGGATACCCAAAATATTCTCAAATTCTATATAGTAATCTATCAAGAATCATGAGTTTTCAGCTAAAAATAAATTTTCTAAGTGGAAGACCTATATATCTTATAAATTTTTTAAAAAATGTTTTCACTTTCAGTGTATGAAATTTTACTATAGTTCAATCAAATCTTTCATAGAATCAAGCAAACATAGGGAATATTAGAATTTTCTATAGTCGTACCTATCAGCGACATACAAGAGAGATTGATCAGTGCAATGCCTCACTCGGATCTCTTTGAGACCGCCCTCGCTCCATTCAGCAACAGACATGAGGATTGAGTCGACTTTTTCAGAAAATTTGGGAGTCCACCGGTTGCTCGTTTCGATGGAAGATAGAAACCAAACTTCAAGATCGAAGACCGAGTTGAGAAACGGGTCTTTGCACACGTTCATCCACGTTTTGCAAACCAACATTGGTGCCACACATCTTTCTTGTATGCTCAGCCTTGAGAAAATATCGAAGAGACAATCCAAATTCAGCTTAGTCCAGTCAGGGATGTGTTCTGATTTCATCTCTACATTTCTTCTACCGTTGTTGACTTCCATTAAGTTTAAATTACCTACGTTAACAAATAGTCAATGTCAATATTTATTTCAACTAATGAAAAATATTTGCATCATCATATCACTTTCAGAGTCACTTATTTAAGTGATGTAAAAACTAATTTGCATCCATTATAACTGATGCATATATATATAAATAAGTGACACAAAATATCATTCTTGTAGTGGTAATAACACTTTGACAAAAAAAAAAAAAAAAAAAAAAAAAAATAGTGGTAATAACAAAATAAATTAATGAAATATTGGTCTAAAATAAAAAAGTTGAAATATTTTAAGCCAACATCTAGTTTATTTTTTCTGAGTATACTCTAATCATCCTTAATGATAAAAACATGTAAATGCTCACATCTTTTAATCTCCATATTGAGTATTACTTTATGATAGGAATTCTCAAAGTTTATTGAATTAAAATATGTAGATTTTGTTTGCTGCTTTTAACAAAAATATATTGGACGAAGTACAGAATAAATTCAAGAAACTCGATAAATTGGAGAAAAGAAAAGATATTTCAAGAACATACTGAAAAATTAAGGATTTACCTCTTGCGTCGCCGCAAGGAGTGGAGAAAGAGACACGAGAAAATGTGCCACAACAAAAGATTCGGGTTTCAAAAGAATTTTCAAGAAGATACAGAAAAATTAAGGATTTACCTCTTGTGTCGCCGCAAGGACCGGAGAAGGAGAGACGAGAAAATGTGTCACAACAAAAGATTAGGGTTTCAAAAGGGGACAATGATTCATTAAAAGACTAAATGTACTTTTATACGGTGGGCTCGGTATTGCAAAGCCCAATACCATTTTTAAATGACTTCGAAAAATTGTTCGTAGCCCACATTGGTTAAAAGTAAAATATTTGAACTTCATAATAAATCATGTAGCCACAACAAAAAGTTGGGGTTTCAAAAGAAATTTCAAGAAGATACTGAAAAATTAAGGATTTACCTCTTGCGTCGCCGCAAGGACAGGAGAAGGAGAGACGAGAAAATGTGTCACAACAAAAGATTAGGGTTTCAAAAGGGGACAATGATTCATTAAAAGACTAAATGTACATTTCTACGGTGGGCTCGGTATTGCAAAGCCCAATACCATTTTTAAGTGAGATCGAAAAATTGTTCGTAGCCCACATTGGTTAAAAGTAAAAAATTTGAACTTCATAATACTAAATTTAAAATATATATATTTAACAATAAAGCTATCAAAATTATATATATATATATATATATATATATATATATATATATATATATATATATTGTAGTTTTGATTGCTCAATTTTAACTACATTTTTAGTTTTGAATTCTTTTAAATAAAAATTTATTTTAGAAGACATTTATAGTTAACATTGAATAGTAAAAATAAAGGAGCATCTGCAAAATACCCTCTTTTCTATGTTCTTTAAAAAAAATACATCTCTTTATGTGTTCAAATGACTAAATTATCCTTCTTTATTGAGAGAAGGTAATGAGAAAATTAAAATTTTCACAACAAAAGATTAGGGTTTCAAAAGGGGACAATGATTCATTAAAAGACTAAATGTACTTTTCTACGGTGGGCTCGGTATTGCAAAGCCCAATACCATTTTTAAGTGAGATCGAAAAATTGTTCGTAGCCCACATTGGTTAAAAGTAAAAAAATTGAACTTCATAATACTAAATTTAAAATATATATATATTTAACAATAAAGCTATGAAAATTTTATATATATTGTAGTTTTGATTGCTCAATTTTAACTACATTTTTAGTTTTGAATTCTTTTAAATAAAAAATTATTTTAGAAGACATTTGTAGTTAACATTGAATAGTAAAAATAAA